AACCTTGTCCTCAGCGTCAGGAACCTTGTCCTCACCGTCAGGAATCTTGTCCTCACCGTCAGGAAACTTGTCATCAATGTCAGGAACTTTGTCCTCAGCGTCAGGAACCCTGTCCTCACTGTCAGGAACCTTGTCGTTAATGTCAGGAACCTTGTCCTCACCGTCAGGAACCTTGTCCTCACCGTCAAGAACCTTGTCCTCACCGTCAGGAACCTTCTCCTCAGCGTCAGGAACCTTGTCCTCATTCTCAAGAACCTTGTCCTCAGCGTCAGGAACCTTCTCCTCAATGCATGTCAGGAACCCTGTGCTCACCGTCAGGAGCCTTGTCCTCAGCGTCAGGAACATTGTCCTCGGCGTCAGGAACCTTGTCCTCAGCGTTAGGAACCTAGTCCTCACCGTCAGGGACCTTCTCCTCACTGTCAGAAACCTTGTACTCAGCGTCAGGAACCTTCTCCTCACCGTCGGGAACCTGGTCATCACCGTCAGGAACCTTGTCATCAATGTCAAGAACTTTGTCCTCAGCGTCTGGAACCCTGGCCTCACTGTCAGGAACCTTGTCGTTAATGTAGGAACCTTGTCCTCACCGTCAGGAACCTTGTCCTCTCCGTCAAGAACCTTGTCCTCGCTGTCAGGAACCTTGTCCTCAGCGTCAGAAACCTTGTCCTCACCGTCAGGAACCTTGTCCTCACCGTCAAGAACCTTGTCCTCACTGTCAGGAACCTTCTCTTCAGCGTCAGGAACCTTGTCCTCACTGTCAAGAACCTTGTCCTCAGCGTCAGGAACCTTCTCCTCAATGCATGTCAGGAACCTTGTGCTCACCGCCAGGAACCTTGTCCTCAGCGTCAGGAACCTTGTCCTCAACGTCAGGAATCTTGTCCTCACCGTCAGGAAACTTGTCATCAATGTCAGGAACTTTGTCCTCAGCGTCAGGAACCCTGTCCTCACTGTCAGGAACCTTGTCGTTAATGTCAGGAACCTTGTCCTCACCGTCAGGAATCTTGTCGTCACCGTGAAGAACCTTGTCCTCACTGTCAGGAACCTTGTCCTCCGCGTCAGGACCTTGTCCTCAGCGTGAGGAACCTTCTCCTCAATGCATGTCAGGAACCTTGTGCTCACCGTCAGGAACCTTGTCCTCAGCGTCAAGAACATTGTCCTCGGCGTCAGGAACCTTGTCCTCAGCGTTAGGAACCTAGTCCTCACCCTCAGGGACCTTCTCCTCACTGTCAGAAACCTTGTACTCAGCGTCAGGAACCTGGTCCTCACCGTCAGGAACCTTGTCATCAATGTCAGGAACTTTGTCCTCGGCGTCAGGAAGCCTGTCCTCACCGTCAGGAATCTTGTCGTGACCGTGAAGAACCTTGTGCTCACCGCCAGGAACCTTGTCCTCAGCGTCAGGAACCTTGTCCTCAACGTCAGGAATCTTGTCCTCACCGTCAGGAAACTTGTCATCAATGTCACGAACTTTGTCCTCAGCGTCAGGAACCCTGTCCTCACTGTCAGGAACCTTGTCGTTAATGTCAGGAACCTTGTCCTCACCGTCAGGAATCATGTCGTCTCCGTGAACAACCTTGTCCTCACTGTCAGGAACCTTGTCCTCCGCGTCAGGAACCTTGTCCTCAGCGTCAGGAACCTTCTCCTCAATGCATGTCAGGAACCTTGTGCTCACCGTCAGGAACCTTGTCCTCAGCGTCAAGAACATTGTCCTCGGCGTCCGGAACCTTGTCCTCAGCGTTAGGAACCTATTCCTCACCGTCAGGGACCTTCTCCTCACTGTCAGAAACCTTGTACTCACCGTCAGGAACCATGTCCTCACCGTCGGGAACCTTCTCCTCAGCGTCAGGAACCTTGTCCTCACTGTCAAGAACCTTGTCCTCACCGTCAGAAACCTTCTCCTCAATGCATGTCAGGAACCTTGTCCTCACCGTCAGGAACCTTGTCCTCAGCGTCAGGAACCTTTTCCTCAGCGTCAGGAACCTTTTCCTCAGCGTCAGGAACCTTGGCCTCAGTGTTAGGAATCTAGTCCTCACCGTCAGGGACCTTCTCCTCACTGTCAGAAAGCTTGTACTCAGCGTCATGAACCTTCTCCTCACCGTCAGGAACCTGGTCCTCACCGTCAGGAACCTTGTCATCAATGTCAGGAACTTTGTCCTCAGCGTCAGGAAGCCTGTCCTCACCGTCAGGAATCTTGTCGTCACCGTGAAGAACCTTGTGCTCACCGCCAGGAACCTTGTCCTCAGCGTCAGGAACCTTGTCCTCAACGTCAGGAATCTTGTCCTCACCGTCAGGAAACTTGTCATCAATGTCAGGAACTTTTTCCTCATCGTCAGGAACCCTGTCCTCACTGTCAGGAACCTTGTCGTTAATGTCAGGAACCTTGTCCTCACCGTCAGGAATCTTGTCGTCTCCGTGAACAACCTTTTCCTCACTGTCAGGAACCTTGTCCTCCGCGTCAGGAACCTTGTCCTCAGGGTCAGGAACCTTCTCCTCAATGCATGTCAGGAACCTTTTCCTCACCGTCAGGAACCTTGTCCTCAGCGTCAAGAACATTGTCCTCGGCGTCAGGAACCTTGTCCTCAGCGTTAGGAACCTATTCCTCACCGTCAGGGACCTTCTCCTCACTGTCAGAAACCTTGTACTCAGCGTCAGGAACCTTCTCCTCACCGTCGGGAACCTGGTCCTCACCGTCAGGAACCTTCTTATCAATGTCAGGAACTTTGTCCTCAGCGTCAGGAACCCTGTCCTCACTGTCAGGAACCTTGTCGTTAATGTAGGAACCTTGTCCTCACCGTCAGGAACCTTGTCCTCTCCGTCAAGAACCCTGTCCTCACTGTCAGGAACCTTCTCCTCAGCGTCAGAAACCTTGTCCTCACCGTCAGGAACCTTGTCCTCACCATCAGGAACCTTGTCCTCACCGTCAGGAACCTTGTCCTCACCGTCATTAACCTTGTCCTCAGCGTCAGGAACCTTGTCCTCAGCGTCAGGAACCTTGTCCTCAATGTCAGGAACCTTGTGCTCACCGTCAGAAACCTTGTACTCAGCGTCAGGAACTTTGTCCTCAGCGTCAGGAACCCTGTCCTCACTGTCAGGAACCTTGTCGTTAATGTCAGGAACCTTGTCCTCACCGTCAGGAACCATGTCCTCACCGTCGGGAACCTTCTCCTCAGCGTCAGAAACCTTGTCCTCACTGTCAAGAACCTTGTCCTCACCGTCAGAAACCTTCTCCTCAATGCATGTCAGGAACCTTGTCCTCACCGTCAGGAACCTTGTCCTCACCTTCAGGAACCTTCTCCTCAGCGTCAGGAACCTTGTTCTCACCGTCAGGAACCTTGTCCTCAATGTCAGGAACCTTGTCCTCGCCGTCAGGAACCTTGTCCTCACCGTCAGGAACCTTGTCCTCACAGTCAGGAACCTTGTCCTCAGCGTCAGGAACCTTGTCCTCAATGTCAGGAACCTTGTCCTCACCGTCAGGAACTTTGTCCTCACCGTCAAGAACCTTGTCCTCACCGTCAGGAACCTTGTCCTCACCGTCAGTAACCTTGTCTTCAGCGTCAGCAACCTTGTCCTCAATGTCAGGAACCTTGTCCTCGCCGTCAGGAACCTTGTCCTCACCGTCAAGAACCTTGTCCTCACCGTCAGGAACCTTCTCCTCAGCGTCAGAGACCTTGTACTCAGCGTCAGGAACCTTGTCCTCGCCGTCAGGAACCTTGTCCTCACCGTCAGGAACCTTGTCATCAATGTCAGGAACTTTGTCCTCAGCGTCAGGAACCCTGTCCTCACTGTCAGGAACGTTGTCGTTAATGTCAGGAACCTTGTCCTCACCGTCAGGAATCTTGTCGTCACCGTGAAGAACCTTGTCCTCACTGTCAGGAACCTTGTCCTCCGCGTCAGGAACCTTGTCCTCACCGTCAGGAACCTTGACCTCACCGTCAGGGACCTTCTCCTCAGCGTCAGGAACCTTGTCCTCACTGTCAAGAACCTTGTCCTCAGCGTCAGGAACCTTCTCCTCAATGCATGTCAGGAACCTTGTGCTCACCGTCAGGAACCTTGTCCTCAGCGTCAGGAACATTGTCCTCGGCGTCAGGAACCTTGTCCTCAGCGTTAGGAACCTAGTCCTCACCGTCAGGGACCTTCTCCTCACTGTCAGAAACCTTGTACTCAGCGTCAGGAACCTGCTCCTCACCGTCGGGAACCTGGTCCTCACCGTCAGGAACCTTGTCATCAATGTCAGGAACTTTGTCCTCAGCGTCAGGAACCCTGTCCTCACTGTCAGGAACCTTGTCGTTAATGTCAGGAACCTTGTCCTCACCGTCAGGGACCTTGTCCTCACCGTCAAGAAGCTTGTTCTCACCGTCAGGAACCTTCTCCTCAGCGTCAGGAACCTTGTCCTCATTCTCAAGAACCTTGTCCTCAGCGTCAGGAACCTTCTCCTCAATGCATGTCAGGAACCCTGTGCTCACCGTCAGGAGCCTTGTCCTCAGCGTCAGGAACATTGTCCTCGGCGTCAGGAACCTTGTCCTCAGCGTTAGGAACCTAGTCCTCACCGTCAGGGACCTTCTCCTCACTGTCAGAAACCTTGTACTCAGCGTCAGGAACCTGCTCCTCACCGTCGGGAACCTGGTCCTCACCGTCAGGAACCTTGTCATCAATGTCAGGAACTTTGTCCTCAGCGTCAGGAACCCTGTCCTCACTGTCAGGAACCTTGTCATTAATGTAGGAACCTTGTCCTCACCGTCAGGAACCTTGTCCTCTCCGTCAAGAACCTTGTCCTCACTGTCAGGAACCTTGTCCTCAGCGTCAGAAACCTTGTCCTCACCGTCAGGAACCTTGTCCTCACCATCAGGAACCTTGTCCTCAGCGTTAGGAACCTTGTCCACAGCGTCATGAATCTTGTCCTCAGCGTCAGGAACCTTGTCCTCACCGTCAGGAACCTTGTCCTATTCTTAAGTTAATGTAACAACTAATATTGAAAATGCCTGCAAATCTAGAAATATCGATAACTGTCCTACTTTTGTGAATTCAAAAAATATTATAAACTGGCTTACTCTCCACGGCATATAAAAAGCACAAAATATTCCGGTGGAAAAAACTCCAGGACTGGAGAGTCCTTGAAAATCCGTAGAAGTCCTTGAAAGTCCTGGTATTAATTTCCTTAACGATTGACATTAGTAATTTTGATTAAAATTGCTGAATAAAGTGAATTATTTGCTGGTTAAAGTCTAAATTCCGTGCTATTTTCAGCCACTCTTTTCATTTATGAAAAGCGGCAAAAATAGAAAAAAGGGAAAGGCTATCGCCTTTACTTTTCGTCCATTTCTAGCGACTTACTTCATTTTTGTAAAAGAGGCAAAAAATGACAAGTCTTTAGCCTGAACTTTTTCGTCCATTTTTAGCCACTTATTTCTTTTTTGAAAAAGGGGCAAAGTGAAAAAAATGTAAGGCTACAGCCTTAACTTTTTGTTCATTTTTAACCGCTTATTTCATTTTTGAAAAGGGGACAACCAATGACAAAAAAGTAAGGCTACAGCCTTTACTTTTCGTCCATTTTTAGCCACTTATTTCATTTTTAATAAAGAGGCAAAAAATGATAAAAAGTAAGCCTATAGCCTTTACTTTTCGTCGATTTATAGCCGATTTTTCATTTTTTGAAAAAGAGCCGATTTTTCAATTTTTGAAAAAGAGCCGATTTTTCAATTTTTGAAAAAGAGGCAAAAAAACAGCCAAAAGGTAACCAAAGGCAAAAAACAGCCAAAAAGTAACCAAAGGCCTTTATAGTCCGTGTGTTGTGACCTCGAAAAGTGCCTAAAAAACAATTTTCATTAAGCATGTCTTAGAACTGAAATACTTTTACGGGAACTAACACTTTCGAACACGCTGAGTTCAAATCCGAAAAGTTCCCACTCCGTAGACCCGCAGTTTTTTCACAAAATGCTATTTTATCTTCACTAATTTCACATCAAATTTTTTCATTGTTCAACGTCACGGATCGATGACGATACACTATTTTGTCACTCAAAAGGACCAATTTCTATTAACCATTCTTCCTTTTAACAAAAAACCGGTTTTGCTCGAATCATTTTGAGTTATGTAATCTTATGCGTGTTGGACGTAAACAACATATCTTGTCTACAACTTTGAGAAGGTACAGATAATTCTTTATAATATTCTTAGTTCTGGAACTATCTCTGTAAAATCAAAAGGACGTTAATGTCAAGTCTTTGGGCTATGTCTCTGGGCTGAGAAATAATTCCTTACATGGGATCAAAATGTTTTATACAAAGATATAAAACGGGAATCTATATGTAATGGATCAGCATGGAAATTTCCAACACGGTTTTCAAGATGTAATTCAAGAGATAACTTATCATTGCATTTGAACTATTATATCAGTTGGTGTTATACTGTGCGATAAGCGAGTATTATTGGAAAGAGGGTTTCTATATTCGTCGAAATCATCGAATAAACAGCTCATGCACACATTTCTCCACTTCGCGGTAAGTTTACAGAGCATATTTTATACGTTGTGACTGGTCTTTGTCTTTGATGTGAACATTTATTCTTATAGCTTAAGGTTATTTAAGATTGATCCTGTCGTAAGTCTTCTACCTGCAAGCATTAGACAATATTTCGTTTTAACGTTGTCTTTGCCGTTACGTTGGCTTTGCGTTACTTTTGTTTTAAATATCTGGATCGCGTTAAATTAGTTACTTTTCTGGCCAGTGACATAGCTAAAAGACTTGACATTAATGTCCTTGTGATTTTATAGAGATATCTCTAGAACTGAGTGTTTTAGAAAGCGTTATCTGTACCTTCTCAAAGTTGTAGACAAAATATGTTGTTTACGTCCAACACGCATAAGATTGCATAACTCAAAATGATTCGAGCAAAACCGATCTTTTGTTAAAAGGAAGAATTGTTAATTGAAATTGGTCCTTTTGAGTGACATAATCTTGTATCGTCATCGATCCGTATCGTTGAACAATGAAAAAATTGGCTGTGAAATTAGTGAAGATAAAATAGCATTTTGTGAAAAAACTGCGGGTCTACGGAGTGGGCACTTTTCGGATTTGAACTCAGCGTGTTCGAAAGTGTTAGTTCCCGTAAAAATATTTCAGTTCTAAGACATGCTTGATGAAAGTGAACGATATCGGGTCACAACACACGGACTATTACTTTAGTCCATTTTTAGTCGATTTTTCAATTTTGAAAATGAGGCAAAAAAACAGCAAAAAAGTAAAGGCTATATAGCCTTAAAAATCCCCAAAAGGTGAAGGCTAATAGCTTAAATTTTGGACGATTTTATATTTCTGAAATATAGGGAAAATAATTGCAAAAACGTACTAAGGGGATAAACGCTTGATAGTTCGTTTTTGACACTTACATTTTTCAGAAAGTGACAAAAATTAAATATCAAAAACTTTATTTTTTCATCATTTTTTTGTGCCGAAAAGTAAAGGCTCAAGCCTTTAATTTTTGGCGACTTAATTTTTTTAAGTGAAATTTGGCGCTGAGACATTATGTAGAAATTAGTATGGTTGCTAGCAATGGATAGATCAAGTAGTCCAGTGGTAGTCTGCCGGTGTAGCATTTGGGAGAACTAGGGATCGACCCCTGCTGTAGTCAAAACATTTTAATGTCAGGCGTAGTAGAGTAAAAAAAGAAATTAAAGCAAGTGTAGACGAAATGGTCTAGTGGTAAGGACAAAGTCAAAGTGTTGCAAGTGTGTGAAGCTAGTATCAATTCCCAGTTGTGTGAAAAGCACTTTAACGTCAGGCATCGTTGTTAATTAATTACACCCGAGATGAGAAAGAGTTAAGTATAATAAAAAAGGAGTTAAAGCGTGTAAGTGAGATAGTCTAGTGGTAAGGACAAAGTGTTGTACGTGTGTGAAGCCAGCATCAATTCCTGCTGTAGTTAAAAAAAATCTTTTTGGGCCTCAGTTATACAGTCAAAGAGGAAAGGAATAAATAGAATAAAAAAATAACCATTTCACCAAGAGTCCTTATGGTCTAGTGGTACCTTCATCATCCGTGTAAGTCAAGTAAGTAAGTCAAGTAAGTAAGTCAAGTAAGTAAGTATAAAAGTAACGAAAGTAAATAAAAAATCCCGAAGAGGTCCTGGAATCATTGAAAGAAGCGCCGATTTTTTATGATCTTGAGAATCCCGTATTTTGGTGTCTGATGAGCACGCTCATATATGCTTGTTTCACGTCTTTTTCGATTACATAGCCGGAACAACTTGCTTTTATCTCTACGCACTGTCCAGTTATGCAAGAATGAGGCATCGACAGAAAGCCTATTGACCGTAGATTCCAAAAATTTAATTTTCAGACAGTGGTAAATTTAACATATTTCTACACGAGCCTTGAAATTCAATAGAAGATAAGGTTCGAAACGGGATAATATTAACTTTCACGTCTTTTCGATTATATATGTAGCTGGAAAAACCTGCATTTTATGTCCAGTGACTGTTTAGTAATGCAAGAACGAGGCATCAGCAGAATGCTTATTCACCGTAGATTACAAAAATGCAATTTTCAGCCCGTGACAATTTCAAATTTTTGTTACACGGGCCTTGAAATTGAATATAACATAAGGTTCGAAACGGCATAATATTAACTTTCACGTTTTTTTCTATTAAACAGCTGAAAAAACTGCTTTTTATCCCCACGGACAAGTCTAGTGATGCACAAGTAAGGCATCAACAGGAAGCCTGTTGATCGTAGATTGCAACAGTGCAATCTTCATATCAGCCCAAATTCAAGTCTCTGCTACAGGAGCCTTGAAATTCAGTAGAACATAAGGTTCGGAACGGCATAATATTAACTTTCACGTTTTTTTCGATTACACATGCAGCTGGAAAGACCTGCTTTCAATGTCTACGAACTCTCTAGTTATGCAGGAACGAGGCATCAGCAATCAGCAGAAAGCCCATTGATCATAGATTGCAAAAATATAATTTTGAGGCCGTGCGAAATTCAAGTTTTTGCTATACGGCCGTTGAAATTGAATAGAACATAAAGTTCGCAACGGCATAATATTAACTTTCACGTTTTTTTCGATTAGACAGCTGGAAAAACCTGCTTTTTATCTCCAGGGACAAGTCTAGTGATGCACGACTGAGGCATCGACAGAAAACCTATTGATGATAGATTCTAAAAATACTATTTTCATATCAGCCCAAATTCATGTCTGTGCTACAGGAGTCTTGAAATTCAATAGAACATAAGGATTGCAAAAATACAATTTTCAGGCCGTGCCAAATTCAAGTTTTTGCTACACGGGCCTTGAAATTGAATAGAACATAAAGTTCGCAACGGCATAAATATTAACTTTCAGGTTTTTTTCGATTAGAGAGCTGGAGAAACCTGCTTTTACCTCCACGGACAAGTCTAGTGATGCACGAGTAAGGCATCGACAGAAAGCCTATTGATGATGGATTCCAAAAATACAATTTTCTGATCAGCCCAAATTCATGCTTTTGGGGCTTTGAACTTTTCGTCCATTTTTAGCTACTTATTTCATTTTTGAAAAAGAGACAAAAAATGACAAAGAAGTAAGGCTATAGCCTTAACTTTTCATCCATTTTTAGCCATTTATTTCATTTTTGAAAGTGGCAAAAATTAAATGTAAGGCTATAAGCTTAATTTTTCGTCCATTTTTAGCCATTTATTTCATTTTTTAAAAAGTGGCAAAAAAGTAAGGCTATAGCCTTAACTTTTCGTCCATTTTTAGCCACTTATTTCATTTTTAAAAAAAAAGACGCAAAAATGACAAAAAAGTAAGGCTACAGCCTTAACTTTTCGTCCATTTTTAGCCATTTATTTCATTTTTTAAAAAGTGGCAAAAAAGTAAGGCTGTAGCCTTAACTTTTCGTCCATTTTTAGCCACTTATTTCATTTTTTAAAAAAAGAGGCAAAAGTGACAAAAAAGTAAGGCTGTAGCCTTAACTTTTCGTCCATTTTTAGCCATTTATTTCATTTTTGAAATAGTGGCAAAAAATGACAAAAAAGTAAGGCTATTATAGCCTTTACCTTTCGTCCATTTTTAGCCACTTATTTCATTTTTAAAAAAGAGGAAAAAAAACGACAAAAAAACCTTTCGTCCACTTTTGGCCACGTATATTTCATTTTTGGAAAAGGGGCAAGAAATGACAAAAAAACAAGTCTCGAATCGACATCTTTCGAAAAATATTGTCCAAAATTATCGACGATATTCGACAATCTTCTTTCGTGTACCATTTGCACCCAGTTTAGTTATCCTACCCAACAAACAAAAATTGAGCTGCACCCGTATATTATACATTAGTATATAAAGATCATGTAATGGGTCAAGGTTATAGGGTTAGATTTTTAGCATATTTCATGACATTTCTATACATTGATGAACATAACATATCCATATGAACAAAATTTTTAAGTCTGGCAAGGTTTTACTTGTCTGTCTATATTCTAGATTCTAGCTGAGGGCTGCAGACATGGAGACACCTAAGCAATATGCAGTTACACAAAGAGAAGAACATTGGCACGAAGAGACCGCAAGTATCTACTGGCAATAAAGTAAGGCTTAACCTTTTCAATTGTTGAAAAAGATGCGAAAATGGGAGAAAGGTAAGGGTAACCCCTTAACTTTCCGTCCATTTTTAACCTATTTTTCAATTTTTTAGATAGAGGCAAAAAATGGCAAAACAGTATAAATGAAAAAAAAAAGGTATGTTTAAAGCCAAAATTTGAGTTTTAAGCTGAAAATATATGTCTTAAAGGGTATTGGCAACAAAAAATTTTATTGCTTCGTCTGAAAGAGCATGAAAAATAAGCCGATTGGCCGTTTAATGCTCTCTTCTATCTCATCTAGTTTGGAAGTTATACGCAAAAATGTGCAAAATATAAGTTGCTGATTCAGCACAACGTGTGACGTCATTGGTTGGGTAAGTATGTTTAATGAATACTAAAC